TGTAATTGTATGCCTTAGCGGTCGGTAAGACCACTCGACCTCGAGAGGACGGAGCATGTTCAGCGGCTCTTTTTAATCGGTCATTGTCGGTTGTTAGTGTCTCTTGTCTCTTTTGCCTCTCTCCTCACTCGTGTATCTCTCTTTTCCGTTGCCTGTCTCTCGATTTTGTGTCCTACCGCTTGTGGCGTGTGCAGGTGGGGTACGTCTTTGGCAAGGGGGGCAACACCATCGCCGACGTCAAGTCCAAGGCTGGCGTCAACATCAGCACTGATGTGAGTCCAATACCACACGAAGTGTTTTTAGATTCATTTGTCCCCCCTTGCGCAGGCGCAACACATACTTGCATCTTTGCAGAGCGCCATCGTTGGCCCCTTTCTTACCTGATTTACCTAACGAATCAAGCGTGATGTGCTTCGTGCTGTTTTGTTGTTGCCGTGTTCTATCAGAATGATTAGTGCTTTAATGTCTCGAGCTCTCTTGGCTGTAATTGAAGCTCTCTGCTCTCTTTTGGGGGTTCCCGCAATATGGTTGCTGGATCATAGATGCTTGTGTAGCTGACGCGCGTCACGTCTGTCAAGCCTGTCCTAACTGTTGCACTTGAGCTCCTTCGCAGCAGCTCAAGTCCTGCGCACCGAAAAATATCGAAAAGTTAGCGACCACACTATTGTTTGTCGTTCTGACAAAAAAAAGAAATGAAATCATTGATGGACGCGCTCGCCTTTGTTTCCTTAGCTTCAGCAGAAAGTTGAGGGATCGTCGGGCTGTTTGACATTGCGGGCGACCACCAGAGGCATATTTTGTTTGTCCTGAAGAGAATTGTTTTCTTCCTACCCCTCGTGCCTCGCCGTCGCTTGTTTTTTTCTGTTGCGGGGGGCCGTCGGTATTCCGGGGATGTGCGCGACCCATCCCCGGGGTTTAGAGCACCGTGGACGGGACGAACTCGCGGCTGCTGCACGTGACCGGCAAGATGTCTGCCATCCAGCACGCCATCACCCTCCTCAACGATCTCGTAGTCAAGTGAGCGAGAGAATTTGTGTCGTGTCGCACCGAGTTGTTGGAAGACAGGATCGTCTTGGATAAGATAATTGTCGCGGACCGACTGAGGGCCAGAAGAAAAGGCACCACAGCAGTATACGCAAGCACATCCTCAAGAGTGTCCCGAGTGCCATGGAGCTCCCGGGCACGATTAACCCAGGGGTGCATGTTTGTGTCTCGGCGTGTCTTTGGAACCCAATGGGATGCCCCTCTGTGGTGATTTTCTGTCTGCCCCGCTCGCCTCTCTCACTATTTACTTTGTGTCAGGCAGCGTCTCTGGCTGACGATATCGAAGTTGCGCCGCCACAGGCATTAGCTTTTCGGGCGGCTGCCGCGCGGTTTTCCCCTATCGATCGCGTTCTTCAGGCATGCTAGGTTCCCGCGTTGTGTTCTCCCCCTCCGTTGAGCATCTGCTTGACCTTGATATTTCATACTTTGGTTGTACCCTCAGGTGGCAATCTCTCCCCCCGAAGCGGAACAACGCCACCAACAAGCAGATCGGAGGCGGTGGAGGTGGCTTCCGCGGGGGGTCCCGTGGGGGGGACAGGAACGGTGGGGGGGGAGGGGGCACGGGCGGGGGGCGCTACTAGTAGGGTGCGGTGCTTGACTGGTTTGAATGGTCGTTTTCCGTTGATCTGTTGATTGCTGTGTACGAGGAGGGAAAAAAAGGCGACATGTTTAGGTCCGGAAGGGATCAGATGGAATGGATCGCTTGTTGTCCACAGTGCAGAAGGAGAGGGTTTCGCTAAGACGTGTTTCACGACGCGCGAATCCCGCCTGTCCTTGCCTGTTCCGCGATGCTAGTGTGCGGTGAGAGCGAAGCGATGCTAGTGATCTAGCGCAGAAGTGGATTGAGTTGACGAATGACCCGGTTGCGGTGGTCGCTCTTGTAGCGGAGCGGACGCACGGTCTCGTAGATCCTCGTAGATGCTCGCTCACTAGCTGTCACCAACGAGAGGAAAATCTGCCTCGGAAACCGTGCTGAGTTTTCTATGTGGATGTGGCGTTTTTGGAGGTGGATGGAGCGGGGAGGGGTTGGCAGACTCTTTTTTCCTTTTTTGGCTGTACCGTTATTTTTTGCTATCTTGAGTGCAAAAGGGAGGGGGTCGGGAGATTCCAATCAAAGGGAGGGAATCGACGGAAGCAAGTCGCGGGGGCACATGGGGTAGATATACGTTGGGCGTGGCCGATCGTTGGGAGAGGTTTGAAAGGCGTTTGTTCAGGTATGCGTACCGGTATCGTGCGCTCCATCTGTCTGGGGAGAAATTTGTTTGAATATCTCCGTTCTACCAGCCTGTGTGTTTTCAGGCGTTGCGAAACAACTGTGTTTGCGGTGGGGAGTGCGGCCCCGTGAATGCCCGTGGGGTACTATGCATACTACGGTGCGAGTCGAAATTCCCACATATTTTGTGAATGAGCTCGCAGTTTGTTGAGCATCGTTGGGGGCAAAAAGGTGCACGAACGCACAGTCTGTTGCGGTTGCAGGGGCATAATAGCAGTGGCATCAAGAACAAGTGTGTGTGGGATTGCTTGCCCCTGCAGCAGGCGTTTCAGTAGTCACGAGGCGGATTCGCGTGCGTACTGTTCCCCAGGAAGCATCGATGGATCTTTGCGCGGTAAAGAATTGGGGCTTGACAAGATGAAAGGAAGTGGGGCCACGGGTACAGTTTTAATGCTCCCTGCCGGTGGGGAGTGCAGTGGTACCGGGCGTTTCCGTTTTCGCTTGGAATCGAAAAAAAGCGAGGAAAATGTGGTGAACAATATTCTAGCGTGACGAAAACCAGACTAGGACTTCACGAGATATGGGTACGGCCATATGCCGTGTTGACTTGGATTTGGAGGTTGATCGTGTGGGGTACTAATGGAAAATTATGAGCGTTGTTTTTTTGTTTTGAGCCGAGTTGCATCTGGAGGGCAATTACCTCTTGTTTTTCTAAGGTGTAACAGTTGCGAGGCAAGCACGTAATCTTGGTGGCTTTCAACCACCGAGGATCTGAAAGGAAGAATGAATACAGGAATTAAGGATTACCCAAGCGGTCGGGATAGAGCATGAGAGGGATGAGGACATGGAGGGGGGCGGACGCTTGACTAGCTCACTTTCTTCTGTCTTTCGGCAGGAGAGGGTAGAATGGAACGATTGGATAGAGGAAAATAGGACTTCAATGGGAATATGAAGATTACCGACGTTGTTTGCCGCTAGTCGACTATAGCGGTTGGCGCGAGTCAAGCGAGCCGCGGTCGATTGGGTGGTGGTGCTACGTGCTGCGGGAACAGGGACTTCTCCTTTGCAAGCGTGTTTGAAGATATCGTCTCCTCGATGCGGATATGACCCACGTCTTTTCATTGGCCAGTCGGATACTACGCTGGTCGACGCCATTTGAACAATCGCGCACACTACATCTCGGAGCCAAGAAAAGCCAGACACAAGACTTGGCCTAGTTCATCAGCTGGGCGTATGCGCCGGCCGGCACGTAATTTTTGAACCCCCGTACAGCGTGTATGTGGTCGTCGTATTGTGCGGCCTCCCTTGTACATGTATATATACATATATGTATATAGCAAGAACTCTGATGTACGGCGGCTTGGTTACTCTTTCCAGTCATCTCTCTTCTGCGAGAGAGACTCCCCACTAGCTACATAGCTCGTTGGGCCCCGCACCCACCGGTGGTGACAAAAAAACATCCGCGTGTAGAGAGTTAAGAACGGTTTTAGACTCAAGTCAAGACGTCGTCGACAACGTGGACACAGCGAGACGCCGGCCGTACACGACGACAATCACACGTCAGTGTCGTCCCTGCTTTCTCGAGCTTCCTTTTATCTCCGTTCCGTGAGAGGGGCGTCTTCGTCTTTTTATAGCAGCGCAAGGCCGTTGTTCACAAGCTAGGGCCCGGGGACGCCTTGATCTGCCCCCCGCTTGCCGTTCTCTCCGTCTTGATCCTCGATCCCCTTGCGCTGTGTTGTTGGTTCCTCGTCCTTGGTCCTCTCTCTGTGGCTTGGTCCTTTGTCATCGCCTCCGTCTCTATCGGTGCTGTCCCCGTCAACTCCGCCGGTCAAGTCCACAAGCTGGCGCCCGCTCTCTGTCTGCATGCCCCCACCCCTTGGCAATCGTATTCTCTCGCCGCGCGTTTCGTCGTCATCGTCCGCACCTTCGCCACCGACACCGAGCCTGCTACCGTCACCGCCGCTGCTTCCATCACCAACACTATCGCTACCGTCGCCGCCGCTGCTTCCATCACCAACACCATCGCTACCGTCACAACCTCCACCACCGCCGTCGCCTTCGACCCCATCCACGTCGCCACCGCGGTCACCACCACCCGCCACCGCTCCCGCTTCGGGCGAAGACGCCGCCGCCGCCGCCGCCGCCGCCGCCGACGCCTTGTCGTCCTCATCCCAGGAATCGAAAACGTTGAGCAGGATTTCCACGAGGGCGGGACCGACGCCCGGGAGGGCCAGCAGCTCCGCCCTGCGCCTAGGGACCACGCCACGGTGACGCCGCACGATGATGCCGGCCGACTCTCGGATGTGTTTCGCCTTCGCCTGCCGGCACATCATTGGACGGGACGGGATGAGGCAGGATGGGACGGGACGATCTAGTACAGTACGGGATGGGATGGGATAGGATGAGACGGGACTGGATGAGACGGGACGAGGCGGGGCGGGGTGGAACGGATAGTGAAACAAACTTTGTTCGTTGATCCAAAACTATGTAAAAAAATAAAGCAAACACGCGAACTTTGTTCATTCTCCCCAGAAAGTACAGATAACAAGGCAAGGTGCACGGAACGGGGTGCGTTCTGGTGCGCAAGCTTGCCTTGCTGCTCAAGGTGATCAACGTCGCGGCGGGAAGCGTAACGCCCATGAAGGGCACGAATTTTCTAAATCTATCTTCGAGGCTTCGCCGAAGCAATGGAGGATACATATACAACCTCCTTTGCATTTCGCCCCGGTGGTCTAGTGGGTAACCTCGCAGCCTGCTAAGGGCCAGGTCATGGGTTCGAGTCCCGGCAGAGTGAGTTTTTTACTCGCTAAATATATCCTGGTCTGGGATGAAAGCGACGCGCTGCAAAGCTCGTTGTTAGTAAACCATAATCGACTTCGTAAGTCGCGAGGGAAGAGATTGCTGTACCCTTCTCGCGATAAAAATACCTCAGGCAGGAACCGCAGGAGGGGGTCCAGCCCCCCCCTCTGTGTGACCCCGGTTGGGTCGTCTAGCTAGTAGAAGTGTAGGATAGGGGTCAGAGGGGCAGACGACAGAGTCCAATGACGGGAGAAAAAAAAAAAAAATTACATGTATTACCTTATTCCAATGTACGTGGCGCAGAACGTCTGCGAGGTCGTCCTGCGCTACCTCCGCCATCTCCGCGGCCGTCAACCCCCCACTCCGCGCTCGAAGTCGCGATAGACCCTCGTCAACCTGCAACAGTTGTTGTTGTTTCTCACATTAGCTCTATAGTCCACAAAAAATGGGGNGTGTGACCCCGGTTGGGTCGTCTAGCTAGTAGAAGTGTAGGATAGGGGTCAGAGGGGCAGACGACAGAGTCCAATGACGGGAGAAAAAAAAAAAAAATTACATGTATTACCTTATTCCAATGTACGTGGCGCAGAACGTCTGCGAGGTCGTCCTGCGCTACCTCCGCCATCTCCGCGGCCGTCAACCCCCCACTCCGCGCTCGAAGTCGCGATAGACCCTCGTCAACCTGCAATTGTTGTTGTTGTTTCTCACATTAGCTCTATAGTCCACAAAAAATGGGGAGCCCGTGATCCCGGCACATACGACGCCGCGGGGAAACAAAAACAAAAACAGGGTACAAACCACTCGGAAAAAGAAAAAAAATGATAGACAGAAAGGAACAGCGCACCGACCGGTCGAGAAAAGAGCCCTCGGAAACCGATCAAAATAAAACAAAGACAAAAACAAAAAAAAGGAGGACGCTTCCCACACCCGCCTGAAAAAATCAAAGGGTAACGTACCAGCACCAGGCACTACGCACTTCGGCACGAGAGCAACGGGGCCAACAGAACAAAGAGGCGGCAGATGGGCAGACAGCCAGATGTACAATGAACAAAAGCAACAGCAAAAGGGAGATCAAGGTACCCAACACGGCAGAGTAGGCAGGGAGGACATGAAAAAAAGAAAAACAGCACAGAGGCCGAAGGCAATACAAAAGACATACATCAAGGAGTATAGCATGCAGCAGGGAGGAAAACAGGGCGCAACAACATCAGCCGGGTACCTAGTTCGCCACAAGCGCTGCCTCGGCCGCCCTACTCGTTTCTACAGCAGTGCCCGGTCGCGTTTCTTCCCCCCCACCGCCGCTTCCTCCCGGTGTTTGCCATCGGGGTTGGGTTTTCGTCGCTTGGCAACGACGTTGTAAAACAAGCCGCCCCCCCCGGTGTTTGCCATCGGGGTTGGGTTTTCGTCGCTTGGCAACGACGTTGTAAAACAAGCCGCCCCCCCCGGTGTTTGCCATCGGGGTTGGGTTTTCGTCGCTTGGCAACGACGTTGTAAAACAAGCCGCCCCCCCCGGTGTTTGCCATCGGGGTTGGGTTTTCGTCGCTTGGCAACGACGTTGTAAAACAAGCCAGTTCACTTCGTGAACTCGGCAACCAGGTTACCGTTTGTTTTTTTACCTCTTTTTTTTTTTTGGCGGTCACCATAATGATGGTCGAGTAGATCATGTTGTGCGGGGTCGAGAACCCTC